AAAGATTTGAGAGATATGGCTCACCCTCATACCGAACAGGGTATCAAAGTAATGGAATGTTTGGGTCCATTACCAAATGTGGTATGAGGACGATCGATTAATTGTTTAAATTAGATATTGGGTTGATGAGTAGGGAGACATCCCTATAGACCCCCAAGGTTACCAGTAAGCAGGTAAGAAATGAAAATTATCGTCTTTTGTTCTCTTATACGTAAAAATAAAAAGTTGTATGAATATGAGTCTTCATATGTTATTTTTGAAAAACTCGTTACGGTAAGTACGGAATAAACGTTTTTCTTTGTATTGAATAAATTTACTTAAATTAAGGGTTCGATTAGTTCTTTTATGATTTTTACCAATCTTTAGTTTTATGTATCTGTGATTAGTATGATATTTTTACTGGACTACTATAGTTCACTCTTTTATTAACCATTTTAGATCAAGAAAACCAAGATCTAGATCCTGATCAGTAAGAGAATTGACTAGTTAACCAAACGGACTCCCTTCAAGTGCCAGTGAAGGTTGTTCTAGGAGACTCATTTATTCCTTCCTCTTTTTATTTGCTTAATTACCGTTTGTCTTTTAGTATGGACATTTCCGTAAACCTATTGACCATTCTAAATTATTATGTAAGAAATATAAACTCTAACTTTATTAATTTCTTCCGTGTTTAAATTATAAATTCATTTTCTTTAAGATTCCTGGTCTTTACAGTTTTGCATGTGTTTGAAAATATATAATTAGGTTAAAGACCATATTGTAGAGTCAAATAGAAAAATGATGGATAAGGATGAATGAGCTAGAATAAGTATGAAGAGGCATGAGAAAATGTGATAATATTTTAAATGGAGTGGTATAATAAAAAATGATAACTATTAGATAAAATGATATAACGAAAAATGACAACTTTTAGAAGAAATGACATGTGAAAAGTGGTAACATTTTAAATAAACTGACATGTGAAAAGGTCTTTTAGATAAAACGACAAACGAAAAGTAGTAACTTTTTAGATGAAGTAACATGTTAAAAGGCCTTTTAGGTAAAACGATATGTGAATAGTAGTAATCTTTTAAGTAAAGTGACATGATGAAATGTGACAACTTTGAGATGAAATAGTAAGACAGAATGGTGACAACTTTTTCATCGTGACTCCCCACTCCTATATATAGAGAATAGGAAAATGGAGAAAGAGACATTTCGAATGAGAGAAAAATAGTAAAAAGCATAGAGCTGAAGGAAAAAGAGAGAATACAAAATGTGATATTTGTGAGTATTTTGAGGTTTTAGATAAAACTTTGAAAAAACTATGTTAAATTTATGAAAGTAAAGAAAGAGGAAGAGAAGAAAAATAAGGCTCACGATCAAAATGAAACTATAAACCATTAGAAATGTAAGTTTTTTCTTAAGTTTTGAAATTCAGTTTCTCATTTATTTTTATAATTAGTTTTTGAGTATTATGTTGAATATTTTTTAGTTAAGAAAATAATCAAAAATCATCTCGAAACTTTCTCAGATTTTTTTTTTAAAAAATTATAAATACTGTCACAATCACATCATCTACATATATTAATATAACTGTAAAATTTTCCTCAATCTTCTTCACAAATAAATTGTAGTCAGCCTTTGATTACTTAAATCCTTACTGCAAAATGAAAGAAGAAAACTTTGCATACCATTGTCTAGAAGCTTGTTTCAATCCATATACACTTTTCTTCAATTTACACACTTTTGAGCAGTTTCTTGTTTGATACCCTAGGGGGAGTTCCATATAAACTTCTTCATCTAAATCTCCATGTAAAAAGGCATTATTTACATCAAATTATCTTAAATTCCATTCATTTACAGCAGCTAAAGAGAGAACTAATCTTCTCGTAGTGATCTTTGTGACCAGTGAAAATGTCTCATAATAATCTAATCATTCCTTCTGTGTATATCATTTGGCAACAAGTCTGGCCTTGTATCATTCCATTGTTCCATCTGCATTATACTTGATCTTATAGACCCATTTGCTTCCTACTGCTCTTTTGTTCGGTGGCAGTTGAGTGATTGTCCAGGCCCCATTATTTTCTAAAGCCTCTATCTCATTACTCATTGCATTCAGCCATCTATTATGTCTGTAAGTTTCCTGATAATTTTTGGGTTCATGTTCTGTATCCACTACAAGCGCAAATCTCTTGTGTTTTGAATTTAGTCTGTTATAGTTCATACAGAAAGATAATGGAATTCCCTTACCTTTGGTCAATTGGGGATCTTTATCTGTTGTCCAGTTTCTATTCACACTTATTGCATCACCACACACATAATCCTTCAGCCACATGGGAGGTCTTCTCTCTCTGCTTGACCTTCTCAATCCCATCTAGGAATCTGTTCTCCTTGCAGTGGAATCCTCTTCTTGATTTATCTCACTCGTTTTTGTGTTAGTGTTGCTTTCATTTAATCTCTTCATTCTCTTCTACTTCACTGGCAGCATTTTTAGCCTCTCTTGTCCCAGTTTTTGTTTCCTGAATCTGGTTTCAGTTTCTGTTTCTTTATAATCTTGGAAGGGTTTGACTCTGTTCCCCTGCAATTATTTGATCATTCTTCTTTATTTTACAAGGCATCACCCATTCATGAAAGATGACATTTCTTGACACAAATATCTTACCATTTTCAACATCTAGCAGCTTGTAACCTTTTGTTCCAAGAGGATAGCCAAGAAACACACATCTTCTTGCTCTTGAATCAAACTTATGTCGTTGGTTTGTCAATGTGGAGGCAAAGGCTAGACAGCCAAAGACCTTCATGTGTGCATAGGCTGGCTTTTTTCTATACAGCTTCTCAAAAAGAGTCTTGTTTTGTATTGCCAATGAAGGGACCCTGTTCATGATATACACAACTGTTAGTACAAAATCACTCCAAAATTTTGATTCAAGACCACTCTAAAATTTCAACGCCCTAACAATTTTAAGAATTTGTTGGTGCTTCCTTTCAAATCTTCCATTTTGTTGAGTCGTTTCCATACAGCTTCTTTGGTGCATGATTCCCTTTTTTGAGTAGAAATCATGTATAAAAAATTCCTCACCATTGTCACTTTTTATGATTTTGATTCTTGCCCCAAATTGTGTTTCCACCCAAGCATGAAAATTCTGCAGTGTTGGCCTTGTTTCAGACTTGCTCTTAAGCAAGATAACGGGTACACCAGCTGTGATAATCAACAATTGATAGAAAATATCTAAAACCATCATATGAAACCTCGTTACAAGGTCCTAAAATGTCACAATATATAAGATCAAAACGATGCTCAACATCACAAATATCATGCTTAGTACACTTCGACAATTTCAAAAAAGAACCTATCTTGGGTAGTATAGAGTGCCTTAGGCGATAGTGCCACAATTCAAAATATGCTCTTATTTCACCCTCTCAAGTTCTAGTGGCTACAACAAAACATTGTCTTTCACAAAAGTTATCCCTTTTTTGCTCTAAAAGATAGAGTCCACGTTCTTGCTTACCCAGTCCAATCGTCTTCCACATCTGAAGACCCTACAGCACACACATCTCAGATGAAAAAATTAAGCAAAATTGTGAGTCTTTAGCTAGTCTTCTGGCCGACAAAAGATTGAAACTGAAAGTTGGTATGCACAATACATTGTTGAGGATCAAATCCTGTGATATCTTTACAGTACCTACAGAAACAACCTGAACCTTCTCACCATCTAGTAACCCAACAGTAGAAGCAACATCAACCACATTTTCGGTATACAAATTAGGTGTACAATATGGTCTGAGGCACCTGTATCAATTACCCAAGGCATTGATTTCAATCACTCCGACTCAACAATGCATACATTGGAAATGGAATACTTACTGGAGAACCCATGCATCTTGTTGTCCGTGTTGAGGGAGGCCCTACTCTGCACCATGTTGGTCGTGGCAGTGTTCTGTTGTAACAGTGACATGAGCTGAGCATATTGTTCCTGAGTTATCATATTACAATTTCCTGCATCACCGGACTCATTCCCTTCTTCTTCAGACACTTGGTTTACCAAAATTCCTTTGCCTTTTTCACAATTCCTGCTCTCTTTGGGATAATCATGTAGTTTATAGCATGTGTCCATAGTGTGCCTTGTCTTGCCACAGTGTGTGCAGGTAGAATTATTTCCAATCACTTTTCATCACTTCTCTAATGAGTGACCTGTGGTCTTACAATGCGTGCAATACAATTTTTCTTTTCCTCCTACACCAGTTTTGGAGCTCTTGTTGGAATCTTCAATACTAAAAGTTGTTGCCTTGTTAGGACCTAGATCAGTAGAGATTTCCCTTCTCTTTTCTTCCTGCTGAACTATTGAATACACCTCATTTAAGTTTGGGAATGGTTTCATCATTAAGGACTTGAGCTTTTATATTCTTGTAGCTCTCATCCAATCCCATCATAAATTTCATTAACCAATCTCTTTCTTGATGGTCAATCAACAATTTCAGGCCACCACAGGTGCAGTTAGGGACAATTTCATAATTGAGTAATTCATCAAACAACTCTTTTGAGTTTGGAAAAGTACACACTGTGTAACGGCCCCGAAAATTAGAATGAAATATGTGTATTAAAAATGTCAAATGCGGAAACGTAATAAAAATTTTGATTAACATCCCTTACACAAAAACCAAAAACGTGCTCAAAATATAAAAGAACAAACTAACTAAAAGAGATACTCAAAAATAAGAACTATAAATATAACTACGGAGTCTTTAGGCGTCCCCTTTGCCGTCTTCCTGCGGAACAGGCTCGGGAACAATGTCTTCCTGATCTGAAATTGTTAAATAAGGAATGAGCTACACCAGCCCAGTAAAGACATCACACTATCTCATCGCCACGGAGGTAAAGGTGGGTAGAAAACACAAAAAGACCAATGGAGCATAATTTATAATAAACTCGTTTATTAACATAAAAACTTTTACTGTCCACTTACCTCGGTGAGATTCATGAAAACAACTTATGAAAATAATAACATTATCATCATCATGAAATCATATGAACTGTATAACAGAATACTTACCACACCTTTGCATCTCAATCATTAAACAATACATTTTCCCCATTTACCAGCCTACTAGTATCCATGGGGATCCATAGGGGTCCCGCTACCTGTGAACCTTTAACATTTATAACCTGATTTCAGAGCCGTCCCCATACCCCATCCGGTATGGGCACCAAAACCATGAACCTCAATACCACGTCCGGTATGAGGGTGAAACGGGCTGTCCCCATACCCCGTCCGGTATGGGCACCAAAACATAGAAGGTCTCCATACCCCATCCAGTATGAGAGACCACGTTCCCGGTAGGGTTCCCTACGGACCTGGTCCGTCTACCATCTCCCAGGATATCTAGTCAGGTTGTCCACATTATCCATTTATCAATTCACGTAACCTTTTATTCCTTTTTTCCTCAGTCACCATCATCAAATCACACACAAACATGCAAACTAGTAGTTTGTGCCAAACAAGACAACACACAACATCGGGTTCTCAGTCATTCAACCCATAATCAATAAAACAGTGATATATGCACACGAAATTATGAAATGAAAACATCGGACATCATACTGCATTTAAAACTGTAAAATAGAACGAACAACAATTGACCGACAAATACACCAGACTCGGGCTCCATTAACGACCTTAAACAATTTTACACATCTATTGATTCATGAAATGCTGTTTTATCATTTATTGAACTTTAATACCGTGATAGAAAATAGGGTGAGGGGTCCTTACTTGTTTCGATGTCTGAATACGACTCTACAGTGCGCCTACAGGCTGTCCCTAATTTTCTCTGAATTTTTTTTAGGGAACTGAAACGCACTACTGGTACCTGCACGTGTCCCAAAAAATCCCAAATTTGGCCTGTTTTACAGTTTTAAATGCAGTATGAGGTTTGATGTTTTTATTTTATAGTTTCGTGTGCATATTTTACTGTTTTACTGATTATGGATCGAATGACTGTGATGTTGATGCTGTATGTTGTCTGTTTGGCATAAATTACCGTTTTGCTTGTTTGTATGTGGATTGATGATGCTGATTGAGGGAAAAGAGAATGAAAGATTATGTAAATGGGTAATTGTATAATGTGGTCAGCCTGACTAGATATCCTGGGAGATGGTGGACGGACCGGGTCCGTAGGGAACCCTACCGAGATTGTGGTCTCCCATACCGGACGGGGTATGGAGATCTTATGTGTTTTGGCGCCCATACCGGACGGGGTATGGGGACGGCCCGCTTCACCCTCATACCGGACGGGGTAATGAGGTTTATAGTTTTGGCGCCCATACCAGACGGGGTATGGGGACGGCCCTGGAATCTGATTTCAAGTGTTAAGGGTTAACGGGTAGCGGGACCCCTATGGATCCCCATGGATACTAGTGGGCTGGTAAATGAGGAAAATATATTGTGTAACGATTGAATTATGAAAGGCTTGGTAAGTATTATGTTATACAGTTTATATATGATTTCATGATGATGATGATGTTATTGCTTTCGTATATTGTTTTATGAATTTCACCGAGGTAAGTGAATGGTAAAGGTTTTATTATTGATAAAAGGATTTGTTGTAAATTATGCTCCATTGGTCTTTTTGTATTTTTTACCCACCTTTACTTCCGTGACGGTGAGATATCGTGATGTCTTTACTGGGCTAGTGTAGCTCATTTCTTATTTAATCATTTCAGATCAGGAAGACATTGTTCCCGAGCCGGTTCCGCAGGAGGACGACGAAGGGGACGCCTAAAGACTCCATAGTCATATTCGTAGCTTTTACTTTCAAGTTTCTCCTTTAGGTAGTTTGATCTTTTATGTTGTGAGCACGTTTTTGGTTTTAGTGTAAGGGATGTTAATCGAATTTTTGACTTCGCTTCCGCATTTGATATTTTTAATATACATTTTATTTTAAATTTTCGGGGCTGTTACATGTACTGCG